TCTCTCCCCAACCCCAAGGACAGTCCCATTCTACAACAGTGGCATCATGTAATATTTGTCCTTTTGTGACTGGGATATTTCACTCAGCATAATTGAACAGAAGATATTAAGGGGAAGCTCATGAAGACAAAATAAAGGATTTTAACAAAATGTGCAAAGAGCTAGAGTTGGAAAATCAAAAGGAAAGGGCTTGCTCAGCATTTCTCAAGGTGAAGAAACTTCAGAACAAATTCAAGCCTCAAGTTGCAGTACTCACAGAAGCTATGGGCAAAACCCTTGATGATCTAAGAAGCATCCAAAGAAGATGGGAAGAGTAATTGGAGTCAATCTACCAAAAAGAATTGGCTGGCACAGAACCAATTCAGAAAGGAGCATATGATCAAGAACCTATGGTAAGACAGGAAGAGTTTCAAACTGCTCTGAAGGAATTGGCAAAACATAGGCCCCAAGAACTGATGATATACCAGTTGATATATTTCAATAAACAAATACAACCCTAGATGTGCTCACCAAGTTGTGGCAAGAAATCTGCCAACAAACTGGAAGAGATCCATATTTGTTCTCATTCCCCAAAATTATGATCCAAAAGAATGAAGAAATTATCAAACAATATCATTAATATCACCTGCAAGCAAATCTTGAACAGTACATCGACAGAGAACTGCCAGAAATATAAGCTAGTTTTAGAAGAAGCCTGGGCACTGGAATTACTATTGCTGATGTAGATGCATCTTGACTGAAAGCAGAGAGTACCAGAAGAATTCCATTTGTGTTTATTAACTTATGCAAAGGCATTTGACTGTGTGGACAAAACCAAACTGTGGTTTACATTGAGAGTAATGGGAATCCCAGAACACTTGATTGTGTTCATGCAAAACCTAGACCTAGACCAAGAAGCTGTGTGTGAACAAAGTGAGGGAACCATGTGCATGGTTCAAATTCAAGAAAGGACTGTATCAGGGATGCATTCTTTCTCCATATATTTTCAATCTATATGCTGAATAGATCTTTCACGGGGCTGGATTAATGAGGGAGAATTGATTTTATGGTGAAATGGCATCAGTACTGGAGAAAGACTCATAAATAACCTGTATTAAATAGATGACACAACGTTGTTCATTGAAACTGAGAGGTCAACAACTGCAGCATTCCATATGGGTTGCGTCTCAACATTGCTGTTGTAAGGTGCCATCAAGTTGAGTATGACTCATAGTAACCTTATGAAAAGAGATCTGAACCCTGTCTTATCCTATGCCATCCTTCTAATCTCTGAAACGCTGAAGCCCGCTGCTTCAGTCATTGTGTCAATCCACCTGGTTGAGTGTCTTCCTCTCCTTTGCTGTTCCTCCACCTTCCCAAGCATGACATCCCTCATCAAAGAATAACCTCTCCTAGCAACATGTCAAAGTATCTGAGACAAAATTAATCACCACTGCATCATGATAGATGGAGAAAAGACTGAAGTTAGTGATTTCATCTTGCTCAGATCCATAATCCACACCCTTGACATGAGGAGTCAAAAGATAAGTTGCAAAGGGAAAATCTGCTTTCAAGGAACTCTTCAGGGTACTAAAGAGCAACTGCATCATGCTAAAGACTAAGGTGTGCCTGCTCCAAGCTTTTGTCTTTTCAATTGCTTGATACACATCTGAGAGCTGACAGAAGACAAATTAATGCCTTTGAGTTGTGGTGTTGGATAAGATTCTTGAACATGCCAAGAGAACAATCAGGTCTGTCCTGGAAAGGGTGAAACCAGGTTGCTCCTTGGAGCCAAGGATTTTGAAACTCTATCTCACATACTTTGGGCATGTTGTCAGGAGGGTCTTGTCCTTGGAGAAGGACATCCTGCTTAGAAGGGTAGAGGGACAGTGCAAGAGAGGAAGAACCTAGATGAAATAGATTGACACAGGGACTGTGGCAATGAGACAAGGTGTGTCTGAGATGGTGAGGTTGGCCCAGGATAGGGCAATGCATTGTTAATAGGGTTGCTATGAGTTATAATTGACTCATAACAACAATAGCCTACAGTATAAATAGGCTTACAGATACAGTAAAAATGTGCAAAAAGGAGGACATAAAAATCAATGACCAGGCCCCCGTCCTTTCAGGAGACTGGGTTTCCATCTGGGTCTCGGGGCTCCGTGCAGCCCGCTGCCGCCCAGCGTTTGTTGGATGTTGTTGGTTCCCACTGTTTCAGCTGCTGTGGAGCCAGCGGGTTGGTTTGAACGTCTTTTTTTGGAAGCTGTTCATCATCATAATGCGGCTTGTAATTCTTGATAACTATGAACTGGCTAGTGAATGGGCAGCCAAATACATCTGTAATCTCATCATTCAGTTCAAACCTGGACAGGACAGATACTTTACTCTGGGTTTACCAACAGGGAGTACACCTTTAGGATGTTATAAAAAAGTAATAGAATATCACAAGAATGGAGACCTTTCATTTAAATATGTAAAGACTTTTAACATGGATGAATATGTAGAACTTCCCAGAAATCATCCTGAAAGCTATCATTCTTACATGTGGAATAACTTTTTTAAGCATATTGATATAGATCCTAATAATGCTCATATTCTTGATGGAAATGCTACAGATTTGCAAGCAGAATGTGATGCATTTGAAAAGAAAATTAAAGATGCTGGAGGAATAGATCTTTTTGTTGGAGGAATAGGTCCCGATGTTCATATTGCTTTCGATGAGCCAGGATCCAGTTTAGTATCAAGGACAAGATTAAAGACTTTAGCAATGGATACCATTTTGGCAAATGCTAAATATTTTGATGGAGATTTGTCAAAGGTGCCCACTATGGCTCTGACAGTTGGTGTGGGGACAGTGATGGATGCTCGAGAAGTAATGATCCTCATAACAGGTGCACACAAAGCATTTGTCCTGCACAAAGCAATAGAAGAAGGAGTCAGTCACATGTGGACTGTTTCAGCTTTCCAGCAACATCCCCGAACAATTTTTGTATGTGATGAAGATGCCACTATAGAATTAAGAGTTAAAACTGTGAAATACTTTAAAGGTTTAATGCATGTGCACAATAAACTTGTGGATCCACTATACAGTATGAAAGAAGAAACTGAAGGTGATTGGAGCTAAATTCTGGTTGAATGAACAAAAACACTGAGTAGTAAATGAATTTTTAGCTATGCAATATGATAGAACATAGGGAATTTTGAAGATTGTCACTTTTATATAGTCCCAAGATCTATGTTAAAACATTCCATACTTTTGCATTTTCTTTAAACAAGGACTTGTGTAGGTCTCACAATCGACGAGTTGTGTATTAGCTAGCTTATAAAAGGAATGCAGAAATGAAGTTCCTGCCTGCTTTTTTTAGAAAGAATTTTCTCACATACCATTTCATAATGACTCTAATGGCATATATACGTAGATTTTAATCTCTGTCACATGAACACACTCCAAAGCTTTTGGGTTATCAAACTATTATCATTGCAAGCTTCTGGAATGCCGCCTTATTTTTGCGCATTACAGGCTTTTTCTGCACTTGGTTGCCTTATCTTTCCCAGTAGTATCTGGACATAAAAATTCTGGCTACATATCCTTGATAAAGGAACTTTGAAAAGATAATAGTGCCTAAAAGTATAGTTTACATCTTGTAAAGGGAACATTTTATGCACCTTTAACACTTTAAAAAAATTTTTATTTATGACTTTGTTTCATGCCCTTAATTATTGTAGAACTTTGAACTTTTGTATCTAGAAATTAAAACAGCCAAACCCATTGCCATTCAGTCAGTCCTGACTCTTGGAAACCCTGTGTCATTTAAAGACATTATGGGAACTCACTTATGGCTGACCCTGCTCCAGCAGGTTTTCAGAGACTAAAAATCACACAAGACTGCCCATCTTTTCCCAAGAAGCTGCTGGTGGGTTCAAACCAGCTACTTTTGGCTTGGTAGTACAACTCTCTAATCAGCAAGCCACCAGAGCCCCCATAGCAACCCTATTGTTTACTGTTGAGTCAGAAGCAACCCATAGCTGACCATCAGGTGGGTTTTCATAGACAATAAATTGCATAGGAGGAGACTGCCCATCTTTCTGCCATGGAGCAGCTGGTAGATCCAAACTGCATATCATTTTATTGACAGCACGAGTCCTTACCGCTAAGCCACCAGAGCTCTCTTACCGACCTTATAGGGCAGAGTTAAATAACACCAGTGGGTTTCCAGGGCTCTAAATTTTTACTGAAGCAGTCCACCACATCTTTTTCCTGCAGAATGGTCGGTGGGTTCAAACTAGCACGTCTTTCACTTAATAGTCAAGGGCTGAACCACTATGTCACCAGGGTTCATATATCTGGAAATACTCTTTCCAAAGCTTTTTGTTTCTTTTTGTTAAACGCACTATAATTTATTATATTCCTAAGATAAAATGGTGAATAATGTTTAAGTGACTGTAAACTATTTGATTGCCACAACAACTTGGATTATTAAAATAGAGTATATCGTTTTCTACATTTAACTCAAATAAAGCTTGTAAGAAACAAACAAACAAAAAATCAATGACTAGACCTTCTTAAACCAAATCCCTGTGTGCATGAAATGCCTTCTCCAAAATGATGAGAAGAAAGGCCACAGACTGGGGAAAAACATTTGGCAATGACATTTCAGACAAGGATCTCGTAACTAAAGTTTAAAGAATAATACAGGACTGCCACAAGAAAAAGAGTGATAACGTTATCACAAAATAGGCAAAAGACTTGGAAAAAAACCTCTTCACAAAGGAGGATATTTGGATGGCTAACAAACACATGAAGACATTTTTCAAAATCAGTCACAATCAGAGAGATGCAAATCAAAATAACAATGAGATACCACTTCACCCCAGCAGTGGCAGCATAGTTTAAAAACACAACAAACAATAAATATTGGAGAGGATGCAGAGAAATTGGAATTCTTATGCACTGCAAGTGGGATTATAAAATGGTACAACCAGTATGGAAGGCAATTGAGGAAGGTGTTTCCTTAAAAAGCTGATCACAGAATTCCCAAATGATCCAGCTACTCCACTGCTACCAATATACCCCGAGGAAATCAGAACGAGGCACAAATGGACATATGTCACCTATGTTTTGAGCAGTGTAATTCACAATCAAGAAAATGGAAACTGCCCAAATGTCCATCAACAAACAAATGGATTGAGAAATTATGGTACATCCACACAATGGAATACTATGCAGCACTAAGGAGTAATGATTTCATAAAATATTATATAATGTGGGAGAGTCTAAAGGGTATTATGTTAAGTGAAAAAACTCAGCCATTAGACAGCAAATACTGAATATGGCCATTATTGTGGAAAATAGAAGAATAACTGAGCAAGATAATGTATGTGTGTGTGTATATATATATATATAGCAAGATAATGTATGATATATATATATATATTCAAAAGGGGAAAGGGGAAAGGACAGGCAGAAAAGCAAATAGGGGGAGACCTCGATAGCAGAGGTCAGTGGGTGGAGGTGGGATGAAGGAATAGGAAAGATTCAGTTTGGACTTGGAAAGTTGGGCTGATAGTAGGCATAGTAATTGTTAATGGATTATATAAAATAAAATATAGAGGAATGATTGTATAAAACACAATGTTTATGATAGTTTGCAAATCAATTTGAAAAAAAATTCTCTGGCCGACAATTGACAGACTTTGACCGGCAGACTCACTGTGAGTTTAGAGTGACTCAATGACAGTCTGTGTGGTCTGGGTTTTCTCTATGTATGAAGAGATTCATCCTGGCTTTCAAACTGTAACTGCTATTCAATGGTGATATCATCTCAGGAAGACCCCTTCTTACTGGGCCACACAATCTCTCCATTTCTAGGATGAAAGCACCATGGAAGGTCATCTAGAAGGGTCCCTCCAGCTCTGTTGGAGGATAGGTTTTTGGACTCTGTGTCTTGTGAGTCTCTTACTCTATGGAACTACAGTGGGTCACTTAATTAGCCCAAGTCACCCCTAAGTCCCTTATAGGACCGAAACATACATCTTCTGGTCTGCACAGTAATCTCTTTGAGAAAAGGGATTGGCTTATTCAGATAATTGTTTCCAGGAGGAAAGTGAAATGAAACCAACACAATCTAGTAGAAGAAACAAAACCAACAAAATCCAGCAGAAGAAATATTGTTACGTGGAGGTCGGCACATATCATTGGTTTGGGCAGTCTGACTTTTCCCTAGCAAGGATCTCATCTTTACCGTGGCCTGGCTGCTCAATGTTTTGTTCCATACTTGGCTTTCCACAGGATTTCAGAAAGGAGAGCCAGCTTTGCAGTTTTCTCCAAATCTGCTTGCTGCTCAAAGATCTGACAGGGCAACTGCTGAGGCTGGAAAGGAAGATGGAAATCCAGCAGCATCTGATACTTCCCATGTTGGCCTGACCGCAGGGATGTGGGTAGGTAACAGGCAGGCAGCTGGGCTGGCAGCTCGGGGAGGAACCAGAGAAGGAGGCAGGAAACGTGCTTCCTTTTCCAACGGGTGTGCAGGAGATGAGAAGGAGAGTTCCTGGCGTGGAGTTTTCTTGCTCTTGTGTGTCTGGGTCTGTTGGCAACAGAGCTTCACAAAAGCAGAATTGGGATTTTCTCCTCACCTTTGCTTTCTTTTCTCCACAAGACAAACCAGGTTTCTAATCAGTGAAAGCACCTGAGCTCTCAGAGAGACGACACTAACAACAGATTTACAAACTGTTCAGCGCAAAGAACGTGGTATATCAAGGGCTAGACTATGTGCAAGGTGCTAAGGCAGCTTCCACAGTAGTTTCCATACCGTCCTTGGGACCAATGAGAAAGTTGGGCCAGGCCTGGAACTACCATAAGTGGTGTAACCTTACTTCTCTCAATCTTTGTTTCCTTGTTTGCAAAAGAAAGGGAGTAGAGTATACAGTCCAAATTTGCTGCAGACTACAAATTACGATGAGATGGCTAAGAGCCTGCTTGCTGGAACCAGATCCAGGCTGAATCCCAGCTCTTCTCACCAGTGATGTGGTCTTGGGCAAATAAGTTAAACTATCTTAACTTCAGTGTTGGCATAAGAATTAAATGAGCTACTGCATGTTAAGTATGCAGCACAAGGCCTAATGCAAAGCAAGCATTTAGTGAATAAATGATGAGCTCTTGAGACGATGAAGGGGGTGAGTCTGAGCACCCAGCTGCGCTCAGCTTTCTCCTTCTCCCTCTTCCTTGGACAGATTGGAAAGCAAATGCTGTTACATGCTCAGGAGCTAAGGGTGGCTTCTCACTCTTCAAGGCCAGCATTTCCTTTCCAGGCACCCAGGCCAATATCTGGCTGGCCACCAGAGGGCCAACACTCCTCCCACCCCCAAACTAACAAACTAACGCAGAAAACATGGTTGTGGAGTCAATTCAGAATTTCAGTGAGCCTTCATCAGCCTTCGGAAGCTGTTAATCATTACGGGAGGAAACTGCCCATTTTGCTCCCACAGAGTCACTGAAAACCAGATTTAAACCACTGACTTTTCAGTTAGGAGCCTAACACAGTACACATTGTGCCACATCCTTCTTCATAGAATCTAGCTTCTCAAATTATTTGCTCAGCATACAGATTGAATAGGTATGGAGAACAACCTTGACAAATTCCTTTCCTAATTTTAAACCATAGAGTGTTCTCTTGCTGAAGGGAGGGGCAGAAAGTGTTTTCTAGAGCAGATTATAATTGACTTACAATTGATGCTAACTGGACTTCCCTTGTCAGGACTGGTTCTCTCTTGTGGATTTGAAGGTGATGGTGTGTGATAAGGGGAGAAGGTTGTAGGAGAAGATGGTGGCATGCTCTGGGTACTTGACCCTCTAAGAGTATAAGTCAGAGACTTCTTCTGGCCATAATGTCCACAATGACCAAGGTGAATGACCCACGAGGTCACCTGTAGCCCCAGGAGAACTTTCATGAGCATTCCTATCAGTGGATTTGACTAAATTTTGTGGCACTGACATGGCTATGAGCTGGCTGCTTTTCTTTGTGTCTCACTTCTACTTTTGCAAAGTGACAGACTTCTTTTGTGCATTGTGGGAACCATTGTTGTTCGATGCTGTTGAGTTGACTACAACTCTTAGCAACTATATGA